TTATGTTTGAAGTACAAAAATAAGATTTTGAACTTGTGGGTAAGGAAGGGATCGTGATTCATTCAATATACATTTTGAGAAGATGTAAGCATAAGAGAATAAATTCAAAGACAAGTGAATTAATTCAAAGTCTCTTTTCTTGATTCAGCCATGGCTATTACAAAATCAAGAACTAGAACATATACACTTTCAACTATTCAAAATTCCATAAAAAGTGACAATTTCAATCCAACTCATGAATATATTACATCAAAGGCCATAAACCAAAATCATTACATCCATAAACTCCATTCAATTTCACCATTCAAAGTTCAAGACCATACGAAAGTTCATGTTTGCCAAAGCTTGGAATTCAAATGCAAATAGGAAGGAAAATATTCATTCAAAAATCATTAAAGACCACTACTTTCAAGGAAATTCATTACAATACAAAAAATTACAAGTCAACTGCAACCTTAAAATGTATTTCCTAGTCTAATTTCCAAGTTTCCACTTTGACCCCAAGGCATCGTGTTTTGCTTTCAAGCTTTCCGACCCTCATTGTGTTGATTGATCTACACGCGGTAACCAACAACTCTCAATTTTAATCCTAACATGCTACTAATTGTTTTCTTAACGCTAACAGTCAAGGCAATTTTCACTAACATTTTAAACTAGCAGTTCTACTAACGTGTTCCAGTTCGGTACAAGATTTACTGAAAATTGCTAACTTCCTGACAGTAACTAACTATTTTATTTGTACAGCATATATGATGGAAATTCAGAGGGAACTTACAAAACCAATCCAAAAATAAAACATAAGCCAGTAAAACTGTTGTCCATAAAAATCAGTGCACCCTTTGATTGTGTTGCTAGTAAACTGGCCCACCTGCATTAAACCATACAGCCCATGTGCTTAAAATACAAAGAGTCAAGATTACCATACCGTAAAAGTCCGCAACCAATTTACAGGCTTCCTTTCACTTTCAAATCCCAAGGCATATCGAATGGGTCTATATTTTTCCATCATGAGCAAAACCCTATGTTAAGCCATGTGGTGCCCTGCTGCATCAAACATAAACCAGCCGCAGGCTTACTTCAAGCCCTGTATCATCAGTTCGAGCTCGTCCACACATTCTATAATGAAAGTCGGTGCTGACTGCATCAAACAAAAACAGAATAACAATATGAATAGCCCCGCACATTAACAACCAAAAAAGCCAGCTCTTTATTTGAACCATAACAAAATTTATCCAACCTTCTTAACCAACTAACTATCCTAACAAACTAACAGAACATAACCACCTATAACAGAAAAAACTTCCAGAACAGAATTCCAGCTGCAAGATCCCAACAAATAGTTAACAGAAAACCCAACTGTTTCCTAACTGTTTCTAACTGTAACCCCTTTCTTAACTGTCAGAACCGCAAAATAGAATTCCCTAACCTCTTTTCTAACCCATTCAACCAACTATAACTAAACAGGATTAACAACCAACTTTCCTAACTACCTACAACTTCTAAGCAGAACTACCCTTAACCCCTTTCATAACTCCTAAAACAGAATTGCTAACCTCCATCGACCTTTAACAGTCCAACAAACTTTCAACCAACTTCTAATAACTTCTCAACAGAAAAAGAAAAAAGGATATAACAAACTGTAACAGAAAGGGAGAGGAACTCATGATTGATTCACCCAGAAAAAGAATAACAGTAAAATAGAAAAACTCACCAGAAGATCTCAATTTTCTCTCTCTGGCTCGGCATTTCAAATTCTCTCTATACTTTCTCAACTCTCTGCGCCTTTAATCATCACCAACCTTCATCATTTCTCCATCTCAAATTCTCTCTATACTCTCTCAACAACCACATCACTTCATCATCCTCTTCCTGCAACAACCTTCATCAACTTCAATCTTTAAAAACTCACCAGGAAAGAGCTCGGATCTGGATTCTTCTCATCACCAATCTTCACTCTCTCTTCATTCTAAAAACTGCAGAAAAATCACAAAAATCAGAAGAAGAAAAAACTCTCTCTGCATCAGAAAAAACTCACCAGGAAAGGGCTCAGATTTGGATTCTTCCTTACTCAATCTTGAAGTATTCTGACGCTTTTTGATGTTCACGAGCGATATAAGCACTCGAATCGTGATACTTGGTCGGAAGGTACGCTGTTTTGAAGAATATGGTTTCTCGTTCTTCTTCGTTGACTCGGTCGTATGAAGGTTTTTTTGGAGAATTGATGGTGGATCTGGATTCGGAGTGCTGTCTTAGGGTATGCACGTGTTAGACTATGATGATTTAGGTTGGTTTAGTAGCGGCGCTCGCAGCAGCATGCTCATCGAAAATCGTTGCTTGACATCACGAAGGAGATGGACTGAAATTACATGAAGCTCAAGGGTCACTAACCCTAACTTGATATGACATCGTTTTGGTCTTAGCATACATTCCTTTCATTTTTTTTATGATACAAACTTGAATTCTTGGATAACCGGTTGGGCCAAGATGCATGCCTAGCCCAACAATTCCTGACGCGACCCCCCCCCCCCCCCCCCCCACACACACACATACAAAGGAATCATCACGCCAACTTGTTGGTTTATGTTTAGTGTTGAGATTGGGCCATTGAAGCCTTAGCCCAGGCGCCTTGATTCACCAAACAAAAAAACAACATTATGGCCATTATTACTGGGCCTAGTATCAGATTTCTACTGCACCTCCTGCTTGTTAGCTTGCACCCTCTAGATTTATTCTCTTAGTATTTTTCTTTCAATTAATTTTGTGAATTGTTTAGATTTCCTTGAACTTTTTTTCATTACATGATAGAAATAATAGAATCAAATATAAAAATTTGTTAGATTTTTATGTAGTTTTTTGGGAATTAAATCCCGATTATTCGATTATATTCGAAATTTGTAATTCACTTTTGCTTGTTGAGATTTGAGTCTTACGCATGTTTATTATGCGATATACGGATGCGCCTGAGATTTCGATTGTGATTTATTTTCACATCGATGATGCTTCGACGCTTATTCTGAATATTTGATTTCTGACTCTTTTTTCTTTGCTTGGTGAAGCTTTTGGCGAAGATCGTCGGGTTTATTTGTTTTGATGCGCTTTGCTACGGATTGATATCAGTTTGGTATTTTCTCTTGTTTATCTCATTTTGCACTTTACTTCTTTCTAGATATCATGAGAAGTAGGAAATAAAGAGCGTGCGCTCGAAGTCGCTGTTTAAAGACATGTAGAAGATATTCCGCACTTCATTTGCTATATGTGTTGTGCTTGTGTTTGTTCCCTTGGTTGTTGATCGATGAGTCACTCAATTTAGAGATTGAGATCACGACTTCTCTCTCAGTGCATGCTCCCTATAGGATTTCATTGCTTTCCTTTATTTCTTGTTGATCGATGAGTCACTCAATTTAGAAATTCAGATCACGACTTCGCTCTCATTGCATATTCCCTATAGGATAGTTTTGTTTGACTTTCTTTGGCATGCTAACCTAGATAGGATATCTCTAGGTGTGTTCTCTTGAGCTTATTGCCTTGATTGCATGATTTTGTCTTTGTGTGCATGTTTTGAGATGATAGACCCTCGACATGTTCCCTTAGGAGCTCTCGATTCAACCATAGATGATGATTCGAGATATACATGGTTTTGGGTGATAGGCCCTTGCTATGCTCCTTTAGGACTTCTTGATTCATCTATAGATGATGAGTTGAGATAGACATTAGGATTGTTATCCAAGCATGTCAACTTAGGGTAGAGATTTCCTTTCAAAACTCAACCTTAGGATTAATCACTGTATGATAACATTAGGGATAGATCCAGGTTAGTCTCCCTTAGATGATTTTTCTTTCTTTTGCATCCATGCATTAAAACTAAAACTTTCTTTTTCTTAGCAAAAGCATAAAACATCTAACAATTTCTAAATCCTTCTTTAAGGTGAAAAATACTAATCAATGCAAACTCTTTTGTGCCTTCGGGCTTTCCTTTCAAACTTTTTTCAGAAAGAACATGTTAATTCACTTCTGTGCTGATGCATAAGTCTCTAAATCTCGAGTTGCGGCAGAAGGCGAAATTAATATTGTTCATTAAAAAATACAAACCAATAAAACTTTTGAAGATGAACTACGGCTGCTCTGATTCCTTAAAAGGGATACGTAAGCATTGGGGTAGGGCCCGAGCGAGCACAACTTTTATTTTCCCTACCTTCTTTTCTCCTTTCTTTTGCATGCATTACCTGTACAGTTTAAATATAGATTATATACACCATTTGATTAGAACAGCGAGAGTGGATACCATAGAATACTACAGGCTTGTGGGGTGCTAATACCTTCCCCTCGCGTAACAGACTCCCTTACCCGATCTCTCGGTCGTTTGATCGTGATTTCACCCTTCTCAGGTTTACTCAATGTTTACCTTTCCCCTCTTGTGGGATAAAAAACGTTCGATGACAAATTTATTAATTTCATTATCAATTGATTGTTCAGCCGGTTGTTTCATTAGGGTATAGCAATAAGTGTGCCTTTATCTTCCCATAGTTTCCTCAAAAGATACAAAGGACAATGGACCACCACCATTCAATCAGCAAAGAAATAACCAAAGCGGGCCAAAACTAAAAAGCATCACGAAAACCAATAAACCAGTACCAGATCTATCCAACAGACAAGATGTTACACACATTCTTTCCCAAATTCTTCCAAATTAGAATATCAGAGCACAATGAAACCAAAAACATGTTATCTAAATCATAAATATGTATGAGCTTATATATAAGAACAACATACAACTTCTTAAGAACACCATATAGAAGAAACATTCTTTCTTACATATCATCATATCGTTAGCTCCCTCTAATTACCTCAAAATAGGAAAGAGATAACATAAATATTCAAGAACACATATACTAGATATCACAGTTGAATATCAAAATTGATGTAGTAGTAGCAACAGGTTGAGATGAAGAAGTTCTAGTATATTTAGGAGACCGCACCCTTTTTTTAAATATAAGACATGATTATTCCTCTAGCGGATCAAAGCCTTTGAGAATATGACTTCTCATAGGCCCATACAACATTTCTTCATCAAAAACTAGAACAAATTCATCAACAAGAGCAATAATGTGCATCACAATGTCAGCAAAGTGTTTCCCAATAATCAACTTGTAACTTAAAGTCAACACACTTTAGACAACACCAATATCATCATCACAAGTAACAATATATTTCTTTTGAAGACTCAAAATATCACATATTAAAGAGACGACACCAATAGGTGGTTGGATGATATGAAACTCAACATGTTTAAGTGATTGATAAAGACAATATTCTCCATATTCTAAGGCAACATGAGTAGGGGTGTTCGTGGGTTGGGTTTGGTCTAATTTGATTAAATCCAATACTTGACCCAATCTATAGTCTTTGATTTGGGTTGAGTGTTCAACCCATACTTTTAAGACTAAATTCGAATCGAACCAACTCGGTCATCAATGGGTTGAGTTGGGTTGGGTTGGTGGGTAAACCATTAAATATAATTTTCAAATTTTAAATAAAATATCAATTTTATTAACACATTTATTTTACAAAAAAAAATCATAATATTTTAGTATTTAATTTAAATAAAATGTATCGTTTAATACCAAAAAAACTCTTTTATGATTCAGATCAAGTCAAAAAAAAATATAAATAGGGTAAAATATAATTTAAAAGATAAGATATATCTCTTTGAATAAAGAAATTTGATATAAAAATATATATGCATTATAAGAATTATGCTAGATAATTTATAAATAAAATAAAATAAAAATATAGTGACATGTCAATGGGTTGGGTTCGCGGGTTCGTGGATTTAAAACTTCAAACCTGTTACCCTAACCAAATACCAATGGGTTTAAATGGGTTAGTTTGGGTTGGACCAGTACATGATTGGGTTGGATATAAATAAGGGTTGGGTTGGGTAGGGTGAGTGGGTTCGCAGGTCGGCCCGTACCCATGAACACCCCCTAAACATGAGTTCCTACATGGTATAATAAACTAGTGATGCAATAGCAGATTGCACCTGATTGTAGAATTAACATTTTACAAAGACCTTTATAAATACCTTTTCTGATAATGGATATGACAATGATTTCTTGTAGAACCTTAGCTTTATGGATAAGTGTCTTGAGAATATGACTTTTCATAAGCCCAGACACAGGTTCCATATTAAGCATATCTTCATCACCAACTAAATTAGATTCATCAATAGCGGGAACATTGGGAAGACTAATGTCAGGATCATTTTTCCCAGCAAACAATTTGCAATTGAAATTCAACAACGCAAAAGCAATACCATCGTTCTTTACACCGTAAATTAAAGAGAGGAAACCAATTAAAAATTTAACCACAAATTTCTTCACCAACTTAAGATAAAAAGATCCAGCATTCAACATTGTCTTCAACAACTAAGCATCACTATGAGGCTTCATAATTTTACTATACTTCAGTGATTGAAAATAAATTTTATCAAGAGACATCCTCTTATTGTTAACAAATGAACAGTTTTTGGGAAGCTTCTTTCGTTCAATATAAATTTTAAAATTTATAACACCCTTTGAATATGGAGAATATGTGCAAGACAATTTCATCGACATCATGCTCTGGAATCTAGGAGCAATCTTCTTTCCTTTTATGGAGAATTTTTTAATAGCATAAATCTCATCTATAAAGTCGTCATTGATAACCACGTTGTCATTAACATATTCAATTATAAATTCATCCTTATTGAGATCCTCATTAACATCCTCATTGACATCTTCAATTACATATTTACAAATATTAACAATATAACCAACCTCTTTAGGTTCAAAGTGAATGGGGAAATTGTGCATGGGGTTATTAGGACTAATTTCAGTGGTGAGAAAATCAATATTCAAAATAACATGAATCACATTCTTAAGACGCAAATTATCACCGTCATTAAAGGCAAATATTGCATCAATAACAAGTTGATTGTTGTAAGTGGTAACAATAATATCACAACAAATAAATGTTTCAACTGTTTTACTTTGAGTATCCTTAAGATTGACAAGAAAAGAAACACCTTCAGACTTACCATTAGCTTTTCTTTTAATCACCATGCCTTTCATACGAACTGTCGCACTCCAAATTTGTCCGTCTTATTTCTAACAGTCAAAAATATTTTCAGCATTGGTTTTTATAAATTTCTTTACAATAATATTTTGGATTTTATATTTATTTTCAATTTATTTTGTCTGTTTAAAAAATATATAATAGTTTATTTTAAATTATTTATATTTCTTAAAATAGTAAATATTTTTCCACCATACATATACTTTCAATTGGCTTATTATCACAAATAAATGAGTCAGCACAATTGGTAAAGAATTAAGGCTTTAGAGTATAAGGTCATAGGTTTGAATTTGGTTTGAATCTCACTTGCTATGTTTTTTCTTTCCTTTTTACCAAAGTTGAGTGTTTATATCTTAATAAATACCAAAAATATTTCTTTTTCTAGTTAACTATTTCTTATTGGTTAGGTTCACACTAAACTTTTCATTGGTCAGCTTGTTGACCAAGAAAGATCTGATTTATCAATTAGTTTTATTTTCTATTTTGTTGACCTAATTAACCATATAAATACACTATTATTTTCAGTGTTTTAGACATCCACAAAAATTCCACAACCCACAAATTCTATGATTTTCGCACACAATCATTCACTCTCACACTTCAATTTTTCAAACCTTTTTCAAACACTTTTCAAAACCTTTTGAACTTTATTTTTTTATTTTACACACAGTTTCTTAATTACAATTATCAGATGGTCCTTTTTTATAACAATTGAATCACAATTTCATTTTGTACATCATAAACTTTCCATCAATTTCTCACTGTATATTCACTAATCCCTACATCTCCCCAGAAAACCTACGGTTTTTTACCTAGTTCGGTCTTTTATTATATGTGTTATTTTTAACAGTTTCTATACCTTGTGTATAACAATTCACACGATACACTTCTTCTCTGATTTCTACCTATCAAAAACACCCAAGAAGCCTTGGTTGACCTTTCACAAGGGACTCTTCCCTCACTATCTTGTTTCGTACCTGTTTGTGTTTTCTACCATGACACAATTCCAAATTTTAAAAATAAAACCATTGTAATTTCACCAATATCACAAACTAATACAATCCAAACAAACTACCTCTTTAATCATCATCTTTTACACTAACATTTTCCGTTAAACCAAGATTGAGATGTGAGATCAAAGATACACTGTACTACCTACACATTTTTCTCTTTTATTCTCTCATATTATTTATTTTTTTCCTTTCTCATTTTTATCAATTTATTTGGTAACTAGGTTTTTGGTTTCATTTGGACTTTGGTCCATATTTTATTAATCATTTTCTTATTATTTGATTAGTCTAATTTCTCATCTAATTTATTTTAATTGCTTTGATATGTTTTAATTTATTTGGTTTAGGTTAATTTTAATTTAGATGGTTTTTTACCATTTACCAATAGACAAAAATTACCAAAAAATAGGTCTCTATTTTATTTAATTTTGACCCATAAAAAATAACAAAAATAAATCAACTTTGTACATATTTTCAAACACTTTTTTAATTAAATTAATTTTAATATTTTTACAAATAATAGGATTTCACATCCTTGAATAATCAATTGAACGGCTTAATACATCACTGATTAATTGTTCAAATTAAAACATTAAAACTCACGAATGAATCAAATCAATTTTTTCGCCTAGCACGATCTAATTTCAATAAAGATCAACTCTATTAATTAACCAAATTTGAAACAGCTAACCAAATTAAATTGTTATTTTTCTACTAACATGATAAAACCTCAAGACATTTTCAAAAAAAAGTATTAAATAACGTTTCCTTCAAACTTAACTACGAACTGCGTTTATCATCACTCTTTCTTTTTAACCAAGACAAGGTTCAAGGATAATTCGAAAGCAATTCTACACAATCCTATAAAAAAACACCAACCAAACACATACGAACTACGAAATTGAACTCTGATTCTTTGCAAGGAGATACGTAGGCCTGCGGTTAAAACCAAGGCGAGTCCCGTTATTAAAAAATTGAACTATTTTCTTAAACATATGGAAACAACAAATTTTAAATAGAAACTCTCGATCTACCCGACGACCTAAAATAGAACGCCCCTTGAAAACAAGAGAGATGAAGGGTGCCTAACACCTTCCCTTCGTCTAACTAACTCGTGAACTTAGAATCTCTAAACGATTAGGATTATTCGTTATTTTCCCGTCCTTAGGAAAAAATTAATGGTGGTGACTCGTAATTTTTGTCGGTTATGACACGAACTTCATGAGCTTTCGTAACTAAAACATCTTTTTCAAGATTTTTCTTTGATGTCTTCTTTAGAATGCCATAATTATTCAGCCATTTCCTTGTTCCTATCATGCTTTTAGATTGATTTTAGAACTTTAGAGAGGAAATTGTATATTCAAATATTAGTTTGAGGTGCATAAACAAAAACAAAAAACGTGGTCTTTTTTAAAATTTAAGCATAATAACTTGTTGTCATAGTATAATATCACGAGATCTTGTGTCGCATCTTTGAGAATTTGGTTAATCCATAATAGTTTAGTGTAACTACTTCTAGAAGCAACATACTCTACTTCTTCTCAGTCAACATCATAATATCCAAACAGAGAAGAGTTTGTATGAAAAGAGTATAAAAGACCATAGTTTGATGTTCCACTAATGTATTTAATGGTTCTTTTAACTTGAGTAAGATGAGTAATTTTTGGATTGGATTGAAAGCGGTCATACACACCAACAAAGAAAGTAATATTAGGATGACTGGAAATGATATATATGAGGCTACCAATCATACATCTGCAAAGGTTTTGATAAAAAATCACACCTTGTTCATCTTTAGAGAGATTTACATGAGTAACACTAACTGTACATTTTTGCTACCATTTTCCATCCCAAATTTTTTCACAATGTTTCTAGCATACTTAATTTGGGAAACAAAGATTCCATCCTTCATTTGCTTCACTTGAAAACCAAGAAAGTAGATAAGTTCTCCTACAATGCTCATCTATAATTCAACTTGCCTTTGTTGAACAAGATGATCTAATATCTTACTCGTCATCCTTCAAAATAAAATGTTGTCAACATAAATCTGAACTATCAAAAGAATTTCATTGTCTTTCACAATGACACCCACCATGTTGTTGACATCATTGTTATCATCCTTACGAATTCAACTTCCAAGTACCTATTGAGGAATACACTTTTCACATCCATTTGGTAGAGTTTGAACTTATGGAGACAAAATAATCATAGTAGCAACCTGATAGCCTCAAGATAGGTAATAGGAGCAAAAGATTCATTAAAGTCAACTCCTTTGATTTTAGGATAGACTTGAACTACAACTCATGATTTCTTTATAGTGACTCATTTCTTGTTCAAGTGCACCTCTATGTAATTTATGTTGTTTGTTAACATCTTCGTCCACATCTTCTACTGCGGGAGCCTTCTTTCTTTTTGTGCAAATTTTCTTTTAACCAGACTTTTTAGCTAGCTGACTATACATTTTTCCCTACGTTGTCAATAACCAATATTTTAAAACCCGAACTGGTCATCAAACCGGTGAGGGTACTGGGTCACTGGTTCATTGGTCGAACCACTGAGTCACTGGTCAAACTGCATGACTAAACCATATTAAACCAAATAACACAGTTGAATAAACTAATCTCTATAACAGAATTCTATAGTTATTAAATCGGTCGAATCAGGTGACTTGAAAAATAATAATACCTACAAAATTTCAAAAAAATATCATAATTTTACAAGTTCATTCTTTAAATTCAAATTCAAAACATAGTAATTACATACAACAAAATAGTACAAAATTCAAATTCAATTTTTTTTTGACAAAGTCTAATTACTACAACATAACAAAATAACTGCATTGTATAATAAATTAGTTCCAAAGAGGGAAAGTTGTTCCAAATAATTTTTGAACAAAGTCTACTTATATTTTTCTTTTATTTAAAAAAATATCAAAATGGTGTCATTTTGTCTAAGGAAAAAAAACATTTAACTGGCCGGTTTTCCAAAACCTCTAGTTCACCGTTTTTTACCAGTTTTGGCCAGTTCTGACTGGTTTACACTAGTTCAATAGCTTACTCGGTCCAACAATCGAACTACACCAGTGGCCCTTATGGTTCTCAGTTCGACCTACTGGTTCGGTCCAATTTTTAAAATATTGTCAACAACAACTTACTCAACACTAGGACCAATGAGATCAAAATATTCATCTTTATAGGGAGTCACTTAACTTTGAAAATCATAATTTTATGAATCCCATCACATATTTTTTCTGCTTGTTAAACAATGTACACACCCTACTACTAATGGAA